TTTCAAACAAAAAAAATAATTTTTATGTTGTAATATTTGATAAGGTAGATTGTTATTTTTCGTTTTTATTTTGACACAGAGAACGAGCAAAAAAATTAAAAAAAGAAAATAAAATAGCTGTTGGTGATGAGGAATTAGAAATGAACATTGTATTTGAAACAGAAGATAATATTCAAGATACGTATGAGGATAAAACAGAAGATACGACAGTTGTTGGGGGTGAAGACGTAGAAATGAATAGTGAATATGAGACAAAAGAGAATGTTCAAGATATGTATGAAGAAAAGTATTCATCCATTGGAGTTCGGATCGTAGATGTCGGATATCTTGTATGGCAGATAATGAATTTAATGAAAGAAGAAGATGATGTTCACGAAAATGAATGTGTGACAAAAAATTGGAAGGTGCAAAAAATTGTCCAAAGAGGAATGAAAACATTTATTCATTTCGAATGTACTGAATGTAATGTGATAAAAAGAATTACGTCGCATCCCGATGATTCGGACCCTAATTACTTTTTCACAGCTGGCTGTATGTCTGGAGGTGTTCCATATAGTAATGCAGAGGAAATTTTCAAAGGAATTGGTATGCCTTGCATGGACAGCAAAACTTTTCGTTCATATCAAGGAAAAGTTACAAAAGATATGTTGGAAGTCGCTGAAGAATGCATGAAGGAAGCAGCCAAAAGGGAAGCTGAAATCGCAATAAATAAAGGACAAGTAATAGACGGCGTTCCCTGGACAACTGTAATAACCGACGGCTCATGGGCGAAGCGTTCTTTTGGAAATCGTTTTGACTCTTCAGGCAACTGTAATTCTGTAATTGGTTATGAAACAGGCGAGATCATTGACATTGTTATAAAACAAAAAACCTGCTCAACATGTGACAGAGCAGAGAAAGAGAATAGACCACCAAAAAAACATAATTGCTATAAAAATTATCCTAAAAATGAAAGCTCAGGAGGTATGGAGTCTGCTGGACTTAGTGAAGCATTTTCAAATAGCGTGGAAAAAAGAGGATTGATTTATAAACATTTTATAGCTGACGGTGATAGTAGCGTTCTCTTCAAAATCCATAAGGCAGATCCATATGCCAAGTATAAAGTAAAGGTCAAAAAATTTCGATGTATCAATCATTTGATAAAAGGTGTTTTGAAAAAATGTAAAAAAGTTTCTGTAACTGTAGGTGGTGCAAGATATCGTCGCGGACCTTATAGAAAGGCACGAGGACATTTGAAAAAAAAAATATTCGATTTAGGTGTTGTAATTAAAGCAGCTGCAAAACGGAGGAGAGATGATTCCAACCTGGAACAATCAGAGAAAACAAAAATGACATCGGAGGACATGCTAAATGTTCCAAGCCACACATTTGGAGATCACGAAAAATGTAAAGAGTTAAAGTGGCCATGTGCCTCTGAAATCAAAGAAGATGAGAACATTGTCCCGTTGTTGAAGGATACGGGAATTTTCTCACAACTCATGAAGATTTTTCGAAATCTGAGCATTCATGCAGAGAGTATTTTATTTAATGCATCAACTAACAAATGCGAATGGTTTAATAATTTGATTTGCAAAACTGTTTCTGGAAAAAGACCAGATTTTACCAAGTCCAGCAGGTACACTGGAGCATGTGCTATTGCAGTGGTCAAGTCTTTAACTAAAACACCATTGTGTACTCTGTATGAAAGTAAGGAAAAAGACTGTCCAGAAGTACTGCAAAGAATGGAATATGAAAGACAGGAAAAAATCGAACGAAACAGAACTTACAATTACGCACCCAGAAGAATGCAAGCAAGTACTCAAGCAACTGATAAAAATTATGGTCCAAAAGCAAAGCAACTTGACAAAACGGCAGATGAGATTCAACATTTATGTGAGCAGTTAAAAATTATCCAAAAGGAAAATCAAGAAAATCGACTAGAAATTTTCTCAAAAACAGTGGAGCAAGCTGAATCACCTCTTTGGATAACAACTAGACAAGAAATGTTAACAAGTTCCAATTATGGTAAAGTTTGTAGTAAACGTGACACAACCTCTGCTGCTAAAGTAGTGCACGAGATTTTGTACTGGAAACCGAAAAAAATGTCCACTTTAGAAGCATTAGAATATGGGAAGGATCATGAACGGCTGGCTATAAGTGACTTGTCTAACGCTTTGGGTATAAAGATTAAACCAAGTGGATTAATGATTGATTTTGAGTTTTCATTTCTGGGAGCGACACCGGATGGAATTATTGATGCTGATTTAAGCTCATTAAAAATACCTACAGACAAAATAATGAATGGAAAAGTTTTGCCAACAATGGAAGATTCTGAAACCGGAGGAATCGTAGAAGTAAAATGTCCAATCGCTGCCAGTAATGTTAAAACTTTAAAGGAATTACTTAAAGTATCTTCTGTCTTAGAGATGCTTAGCAAGAACAATCCAAATGCCCTGAATAAAACACATCGTTATTACTATCAAGTACAGGGTGCACTGCGACATACTAAACGACACTTTTGTGTTTTTCTTATCTGGGCTGAAAATGTTAACCATTTCTTTGTGATCGAACGTGATGACGAATTTTGGAAAACTAAAATGGAAATGAAGCTGATAAGATTTTACAATGAGTGCCTTCTTCTTGAAATTGTTGATAGTAGAAAGGATAGAAGCAGACCAATCAGAGAATCAAAATATTGTTTGAATGCTCAAGAAGAAAAAAAGAAAAATAATTTACTAAAAGAAAATGATCAGAGAAATGTGCAGATTACTAGTGATAAGTTCACACCAGATAAAAAATCAGTTGAACTAAAAAATGACGAATTTATGACTGAATCTGATGACAGCTCATCTGACAATGAATCAGTTGATAGCGAAGAATTCGATGACGTGTTTGATGAAATGTGGGAGAAAATGGAGCGAGAAGTAGAAAGAGAGGAAGACACGCCATCAGAATTAGACGAATCCTGCTTATCAGAAACATTTCATAAAAAAGAGGAAGCCATGTCATTCGAAATAAACGCATCTCATATGACAGAAACGTTTGATGACAATAACGACACACAAATTGGAAATGAAGAGGACATTTTTGCAAAAGTACATGAGATTCTTGAAAAAGGGAATGCTGAAAATAATATAGCATACTTAGCTAGTAATGAGAACTTCAAGATTGATCAAAAAATTGGTCGCAGTCAATCTGACGATGAAATACAAATAACGGCACATGAAATTCCATCAGAAAAATTGCCCTTGTTAGACTTTTTACACATGTTTCCATTAGAGGAACAAAAGGAAAGAATCCTATCCAATGAACATATGTTGAATGAAATATGCATGGACAAAATGATTCATTTACTACAAAAGAATAAAAATTTCGAAGTTCTTAGCGTCCAATACATGATGTTTAGAGATAATATACATGCATTTGATAATAATAAAAATAATGAAGATATTCAAATTATTGGCGGAGTTCCTGGTAATTTTAAACATTGGCGCGGCTTGCACTGTAAGGGAGAACAGCTAAGGATTTTAGATAGTTCGTTTAGGCCAAATTACGGAAGGTTATTGCCTCAAGAGAGGGATTATATCGATCGTAGATATCCTCATATTTTAAAAAAAAATATAGTATCGATAAAGGTAACTGGACAAGGTGATGGTACTTCTTGTGGAGTTTACGCACTTGCCTTTATCATCGAAATATGGTGTGGAAACGATCCCTGTGGAATAAACTACGCAGGTTATGAAGTAATGAGACAACATTTCTATAATATTTTAAAAACAGGAAAAGTGTCTCCTTTTCCAAGATTGTAAATACATTTCTGAATCGATAATTAATTGATTGGAGACAGTGAATCTTACCAATGAATTATGTCAAATTGTATTGGGTTAATTCACAATTGAGACATAGTTGTTTAATTAGTTCCGGTTTATACTTGAACTTGACTGTTGTAATGCAACGGTTATGGAATAGAATATATACAACGGTGTGCATTTTTCCGGTTTATAATAATGTTCAATTATAATTTAATGAGAAGTTTGACGTCTAACAAGACTAACACTGATCATTCAGGTGTATAATTTTAATTTAATAGCTGACAATGTCTTTATAAACAGCGATTAATACCACGGTGTATTTAATTCCGGTTTATACTCTTCACTTTCTCTGGTTGTAGAACAGTATATACAACGGTGTCCAATTTTCCGGTTAATATCACAAATTGTTTTTGACAATAAAATCAAAAATTTATTTTATTCAATATGTTTTGCAAATATCTACAATAAAATAGCAGGAAGCTAGAAGGTGGAAGCATTGACAGATCTTTCTTTACTGAATTGTTAATAAACTCCAAAAAAATATAAACTAAAAAAAAAGAGATATTTAATGAAACGTTTGACGTCTAACAACAATAATGTACACGACGGTGATTATTCCGGTGTATAATTTTAATTTAATAGCTGACAATGTCTTTATAAACAGCGATTAATACAACGGTGTATTTTATTCCGGTTTATGCTCTTCTCTTGCTCTTGTTGTAGAACAGTATATACAACGGTGTCCATTTTTCCGGTTAATATCGCAAATTTTTTTTGACAATAAAATCAAAAATTAATTTTATTCAATATGTTTTACAAATATCTACACTGAAATAACAGAAAGCTAGAGGTTGGAAGCGTTGAACAGTAATGTACACAACGGTGGTTATTCCGGTGTACAATTTTGATTTAATAGTTGGCAACGTTTACAGCGATTAATACAACGGTATATTTTATGCAGGAATATACTATTAACTCTTTCTGATTATGAAATAGTGTATACTACGGTGCGCATTATTCCGGTTTATATCGAAAAATTTTTGTATACAGTTATTATACTTAATACTAGATTATACAAAAGATTACACTATTATCATTTAACATTCTGAATGTTTAAACAATTTTTATTATAACGGAAACATGACTTGTTATATTTCCCATGATAATTTAAACTAATGAAAACACTTATATATTTTTAAAAAACAAAGTAACTCAAGTGACGCAGCTAGAAGGATGAGTCGGATATTTGTATCATGCGAAATGGCCTACAACGATGCGACCTCGAGGAATCAAGACCCTTGGCAAAAAACTTGGATAGTCCCAATTCAACAGGTAAGAAGTATACTGTCATATTTACATCAGTAGTTACATATATTAATTAATATTAATGTTTTCAGATTTATTGATTTTAACTCTTTAATAAAACTGTCATTGAAAGGAGGACATAAATCTATAGAAACGTTAGTATAAGGGCCATGATATGATAAGGACGGAATTGGAAAGTTGATTTTATTACATCAGGATTTTCTCCTAAACCAGAAAAATAATGAAGATAAATTGAACAATCTTGAAAAAAGTAAGAGGTATATATATAAATTATTAAATTATATTAGGGGCAAGTTTTCTAAATCTAATAAATCCAAACTGTCACTTCGATAAATGTCAACAAATTTCATTTCTCACACAACCACTAAAAGTTAATTTTGATGTAAAAAAATTGTAATAAATTATTTACATTGGAATGTTTTTTGGATTTAAAACGTTCTGTTTTTAATGGAAGTTTATTATATAATAAGGAAATTTGAAGGTTTCCGTTATTTTCTCTAATAAAAAAAAATTAAAAACCATCTACGTAATAAACAAATGTTTTTAAATTATTATTATCTTAAATCTGTGTTTATCTAATTTACAAAAAAATGTATTTATTAGGTTTTGAAAACTTGCTCCTTATATTGATAATAAATCGTAAGTCAAATTTCGAGAAAATTAAAATAATTGATACATCAATTATTATTTTTTTACTCTTCAGGGTAAATATTAACATAGTTAAGCTTACTAACGCATAAAAACATTTTTTTAATATAAAACACTCTTTAATTAAGTGGGACAAATAAAAGCACACCTTACTTTTTTTGTTTAACCAATGAAATTTTCCATATCCACAAAAATGAAAATAATTTTAGCCACATTTTCGTGTTGGTTTAGTTAATCCAAAACAAAGAAATTCATATAATTTATAAATGTCGAACTTTGCATTTGAAACTAAAAAAAGGGTTTTAAATCTTAATTTTTATCCTAAACATCTAAAAAGTTACGAGTGTTATTTTTCACCTTTAGATGCCAGAATAAATGTCAATTTTCTTGAAATTAAAAATTTGTTTTGTTAGTCTTTGTACCGCCGGTTGATGTATTACAACCTGTCAATAGGCAGGTTAATATACACAACTGCTCTAAAAAATGAACAAATAAATGTTTAATTTTTTTAAATTTTCCTTTGTGTTGGCATTACAGTTTGATTATATGGTTTTGTAGTAGTCTGAAATTGGCGTTCAGTATCTTTTATTCGCTTCGTGAAATAGATGCAATGTAGTAAAAACAAATAATTAACCAAATATTTTTCTGTTTAGAAATAAAAAATTTGCAATTGGAAAGTTCGGCAGACCTTATGCGGAGAACAACGTAAAAAAGAGACATAAGTCATAAAAATCGAAACGAAAAATTTAATGTAAAAATATAAATTTATACTCAATTATGAACAATTTCAAAAGTAGATTTTTTGATTAAAAAATCTTGTAATAAACTGTACAGAAACTTGGCACACATAGCCACATATTTTTACACATACAATGTATATATGAAAATTGAATAGTAAAGCACTTTTGAGAGAGAAAAACAAACCTTCATTTTCACATATAATCAAATCAAAAATTTTTAATCGCAAAAATTCTTATCTTGAATTAAAAATGCGAGTTTATCTTTGTATGAATTAAGAATTTCATAATTACGTGTCCTGATTAATATTCAGTTTATTCAGTTTTCAATATAAGAGAGAGGCTTACAAGTTGCCACATTGTTTTTAATTTTACAAATTTTGACTGACATAGACGGCGAAAAATTATTGTCACTTTTAATGTGCTTTTCAAGCAAACAGAAGCAATAAAAGTGTTAAGGGGAGACCGGGGTTACCTGACGCATTTTTTACTTTTTGTTGTTTAACTATTTTTTGCTTTTTTGAGAACCTCACTGTGCAGAGAACTTGCTATAACATCTCAGCTTTAATTTAAAAAAAGAAAAGTTGCGATACATTTTGTTTTGTTTTCTTAATAACAATTTGTTTGAAGCTGTGCAAAGTGCGCCAAGCAACCCCAGGCCGGGATTGAACGGCGCAGGAGTGAAATCAATTAAATCATGTGATTTAAAGTTTCAACAATATATAAAATAGTTAAATAAGTCTTTAACTATTATTTTACAATAAAACTTAAATAAAAGTTCAGATTGTGACCTTTTGCATATGCTAAGAAATTCAACATTACAGCAAAAATGTTCTGAAACCTATTACTAAATTGTTGATTTATTAAAAAAGTAAGACCAAGTGGTTGTGGTTAGGTCGATAATTCAGATATGTTTTCATTTTTTACAACAATAAGATAGTTATACTTAATCAAGTGGTAACGCAGAAGCTTCGTAACCTCGAAGGCCTGGGTTCGAGTACCCGCAGGAGAAGATTTCTTTTCTCAAATATTACAATTTTTGTATTCTGGAATATTTCAGGAAAAAATTAAAAACAATTTCAGAAGTCCTATTTAGGTTCATAATAATTTTTAAAGAAAAAATTTCTGTAATTTTTGAAAAATTTGTACATTTGAAATTTGGGAGACATTTAGTCTCTGATTTAGGATGAGTTGAAAATTTGTCTGTAAGATGTCATAGCCTAAAATATTTTTTCTCTTGGGTACCTTTCTTCGGAAAGCAATACATTTATTATCTATCACAATATATTATTATATTATACAAGTTTACACCATTGAAAACTCAGACTTTTCAGTGAAGATTTCTAAAGCTTACTTTGGTAATAATAACCCAGCCAGCACAACGAGTTGCTATAAGTTTTACGTGAATTTTAACCAGAGATTCGGAAACAAATGTTCGCAATACTGTAAGCTTATTCTGAAAATCTTGTAATCTATTACACCATAAACTTTTGACATAAGCTTCATCTTAAGATTGAAGTGAACTTAAATTTTTAAAATCTGTCATGAAAATTGTAATCAGCGACCTCAAAAAATGTTAAATAAGTTATGACTTTGTGTTTCTTAGTAATATATTTGGATTTCCAGTAACAATTGTCTAAAGCAAAAAAAATTAAAATTAAAAATACCTTAAAAATCTGACGTGTATTAAAAAAACGGACTGCGGATTCGAATTCAATGTAAAAATTTAAGTCAGAAACCGGTTTCCGTTGCTTGGGTCCAAAAACTTGTATTCCTGTGTTATTGGAAATCGTTATATTTTGCCTAAAATTTTTTAAAAATATGAGGAGAATTTAACTCATATAGTAAAAAATTTACGTCATAATTCGAAAATAATTTAAAAGAAAATATTTTAGACAATTTTGAAATTTCTCATTGAGGTTCTTCAACTGAAAACTATCCTTTCAATATATTTGAAAAAAATATTTAAAAAAATTGAAATATTCTCAATATTCCTATTATTAAGTTTAGAAAAAGTTGTAATTTATTTAAAAAACTTTATTTTAATATTTTATTGCGCAAAGACAATAAATTTTTTTCTGTGTTTTTATAGTAATAAAATTTTTTAGATGTATGTTTATAATTATTAGCATTATTTAATGCATTTTTAAATTTAAGTGAAACCAATAACAACTTATGCACTCAAACTGAAATTTAATTTTAAAAAATATAAATAAAAATTACATCAGGGATGGAATCAATTTCGTCTTATCTTGAAAAGCAGACTATTTAAACAATCGCGCCAAAGAGTACACATGCGCATGTGACGCGCATGCTTATTGTCATGGCCGGCCGGCTTCTTCAACGTGAACCACGTTCAGTTTACTTGTTTGTGCCTGCACTCTAAAAAAAACAGAACATTGTTTTTTTCTGGTAAAAAAATACTTTGGAAAAGGATATTTCCGAAATCGTTTGTGAATTTTATGTACTTGTGAACAGTGTGTAAACGTGAAAAATGTCTCGCAAGATCGGTGAACACGGTTGTGTTAAGGTTATATGGATAAATTTGTATACAAATAAACAAACTTGGTGAAGAAACTTATGGTGTTACAAAGGATAAATTAGCTGGAAAAGTAGTGGCGCTCAAGAAAAATCGTCTGAAATCGTAAGTATTTCTGGAATATTATTTTAAAAAGCTGACGAGACTTTTCTCTTTTGTTGTCAACTTTCTCTCTCTGGAAATGAGAATCAATTTTTATATACTTGCTTAATGTTTGTTGTTTTTGTGTCATGTTCTTGCTTTTTCGCTTTTACTGTTATTGATTAAAACATTAATAATTCGCTTTTTTCAATCTTTAGAGAAAGTTTTAGTAGCTTATGAAAAATTATGCTTTTGAGGTTATGTCCAGCGTCGCTTTTCCATTTTCCGAGCTTTATAATGATTAAAAATACTAAAATAATTTTTCATACTAAAATATTGATCGCTTAGATTTAAAATAATGCTAATATTTTTAAAATAATTATTTTTTTTAATTTAACAAGATTGAAAATTTTTTTTTGTATTTGAAAAAAAAATCAAAATTGTTGGAACTGAATTTTTGTAATCAAAACCGAATTAAATTAGTCTTTTTTAATGTTTTTTTTTCTTTATCAAGTAGAATTGAATTGATGTTTTTATTGGCGTATTTTGAAAAAGATATGACGCACTGTAAAAATACATGCCATTATACGAGGAGGCACAGGTGGACGAGGCTAAAGTCGCGGAATGGGCGAAATTCGTGGCGGAAGAGGAGGAAGTCGTGGAGGAGGTGATATGAGCGGCGGTGAAATATTTGGCAACCGATACAGTGGTGGTAACATTGGAGGAATTCGATTCGGTGGCGGAGGAATCTCGAATAAGCCGGAAGAAAATCATCTTTGTGAAGACTAAGAGAAAAGTTGACGAGATATTATGATGGCTATTAATAAGTACGGATAACAGGAGATTTGTATTCATGGTGATGAAATTCAACAAGAAAGGGGTTACGTTTTAAATTGTAAGTTTATTTTATTGTTTCTTATTTTTTATTTATTTATTTATTTTAGAATGATCAGAGACTCAACTTTTTAACTTTGAAATTTTATCATTTATTTAATTAAATTGTTCCTTATTTTAACTGTTAACTTAATTTTTTGCATTCTTTTTTTACATTTTTGAAATTTAGAAAAGTAATTAATTGAAAGTATTAATTATAATTAATTTTAAATTTTGAAAGAATACAATCTTATTTTGAAAATTTATCATTTTTGTTATTATTTATTTACATATTATAATTAACTTTTAAAGTTTATAAATTAATTTATATTAATTTTCAGAGTGAATTGCTATTGCGAATGCGTCAGAGGATTTCTCTTAATAGCACAGTTTCCGGAATTCAGATGCAACAAACGGAGACTCCTGCATCCAGTGCATCGATACACGTCCAAGGTGTACAGAATCCTCATTTGCTTTCTTCTCACAATGTTCATCTGGAACTTTACAACAATCATCACAACATCCTGTTTAAGGTACAATAAGTGAACCCGTTGTCGTTGAACTGGTCGTAAGTTGGAGTTGCCGGTTTGGGAATCACTGTCAGCGGCGAGAATCTCTGTTAGTCACAAACTGCTGGCTACCAATTACCTTATCATCTTCATAGATTTTATGAACCCACTGGATCAAACGCTTTCGCACATTCTTGTCAGGTGAGCGAATTCGTCTTTTATTTCAATTTTTTGTAGTTATTTATTTTTTAATTAAACTATAGTTTTAATCTTATTTTTGAATAACTTTTTACCTTTTCATCTATTTCTTTTAAAAACAGCTGCTTTGATCGCTGAATGTAAATAGTACATTATTTTATTTTTTATTTTTAAAATGTGATTTATAATTTAATTTAGATGGCATAATCGCAATTCGTCTCCATCCTAGACATCCAGCACATCCAGTTCACAAGAATCACAGTTTGAATTAGGATTTAGGATCTCTCGTCAGTGCTTACATTCGAGAATATTTGGCTCCAATGCCAATCCCTGCATTCCGCCATGCGCATCCATCACCTGCAACGATTCACTGGCCGCAATACACTGCTCATCATCAATTAACTAAGCTTGTAAGTTGACACTTTATTATAGAAACTTTAAACCTTTTTCTCAACATTCGACAGAATTTTTTTTCTTTCTTGACAAAATAACTATTTACAAACTGCAAAGCGTCTAATTTGTAATGACGTCAATTCAATTTTTGATAAATTGTTTTTATATTTTATTTTTAATTTTTATTTAGTTTCAATCATTTCAAAACTTTAATTTCAAAAATTAAAGAAAATTGATAAATTCGAAGAAAGGAAAAATAAAGTAGAGTATGGTCATTCCATTATATTTAACCTATAGTCGTTGCTGTCTATTTTTTAAGAAAATTGATATTTTCAGAAATAATTCTGTATAATATTTAGGGAAAGAAATAAAATTGAGTTGAAACTCTTATTATTTATTTTAA